CTCAAAACTAGGGGCCCATTAGAACTTAAACAACTTAGAACTAGGGGCCCATTAGAACTGAAACCACTCAAAACTAGGGGCCCATTAGAACTGAAACCACTTAAAACTAGGGGCCCATTAGAACTGAAACCACTTAAAACTAGGGGCCCATTAGGACAGTGGGCACTTTATAACATCACTGACATGTCCATTACACAAAGGATAAAAAAAAAAATTACCCAAAATACCTCCCTTTCCCCACACCAGGATACGAGCACAGATGTGTACCAGAATCCAGGTGTGCATCTGTGCTCGCCAGGTGTTTGGTGAAATGATAGAGTGCATACTATCTAATTAACTCGTCTGACCAGGTGAGGCTTATCTGATTTACACCAATAAATGTTTCTAGTTAGGATGATGGTGTTTTCGCCTCTAAGTATAAATAGATGGATTTGTATACACGCGTGATAGTTAATTATGATATACTTGAATAGATTTGTGTACAGTATATGTTTTATATATTTAGTTAGATATAAATAGATAAAGATGATAGAAATAGATAAGGTACATAGAAATAGATAAGGTACATAGATAAAGTACAGGTGATGGTAAGATTACAGGTTCTTTAGATACAGACACAGGTACAGGCTGCTGATACAGGTACAGGACACAGGTACAGGTACAAAGCAACCATCAGGCCAGGTACAGTTATTAATACCTCAGGGAATAGCTAACTTGGCCACTGTTGTCAAAATGTTTCAAATTAAGTTTCAAAATAATGTTCAGATTATTGTGTGTGTGTGTGTGTGTGTGTGTGTGTGTGTGTGTGTGTGTGTTAGACAAAGCTATTAGGTGTGAGATGGGGGGTGAGTGGGGGGCATTGTGGCACTGCAGCTCCCCCTCCCTCCTCCATCATATCTCCCTCCCTCCACCTCCCAACCCCTCCTCCACCTCCCAACCTTCTCCCTCCACCTCCCAACCCTCCCTCCTCCACCTCCCAACCTCTCCCTCCAATTCCCCAACCTCTCTCCACCCCCAAACTCTCCTCCACCTCCCAACCTCCTCCCCTGATACTAACCCCCTCCCTTACTCTCCCACCTCACCTTGTACCACTTATTCCCATCCCTTAATATTATCACTCCCTCTTCTCCTGCCCTCTTCCTCTCTCCTTCTTCTCCTTGCATTCCCTTCTACTTCCTCCTCCTCCTTTTTATCTTTCTCCTTCATTCTGACTCTCTCCTGCGAATTTCGGTATGTCTTCCGCTACTCATTATTTTATATTATAGAAAGCACCCGTTATACCACCCCAGCACACACACACACACACACACACACACACACACACACACACACACACACACACACACACACCGAGATAAGGTTCTTTTGGGTCCCTGCAGCGAGTCGTCTTGTTGTTGTGGCGGAGATCGATGTGTGTTGAATCATTGTCTGCACTAATGAGGTCGTCCAGGTGTGTGTTTGTTTGTGTTTGTTTGTGTTTGTTTGTGTTTATGTTAACTGGATGATGATTTGAGATGGGGATAGCGTGCTTTTTTTTTACGTATACACACACGCACACACAAACACATACTACATACTCTCTCTCTCTCTCTCTCTCTCTCTCTCTCTCTCTCTCACACACACACCAGCGCCAGTAGGTAACCTTCTATGAAAGACTACCCCTCACTGCCCCTTACCAAGCTAACTCTCCCAGTAAATTGCCTTATGAGGGGCTGAACGTGTCCCAGGTGGGGGGCCAGGCCGTTCACCTGAAAGGGAGAGGTTTTAGGTGGCGGTAGGAAGTTGTAGTTAATTGATTTTTAGGTAGGTGGGTGAAGGTGTAGGTGGGCGACCGGTGGTGTAATGGTCAGCATGCTCGCCTCGCAAGCGAGCGGACCCGGGTTCGATCCCCGAACATGGTGAAACTATGGGCAAGTCTCTTTACGCCATTTGTCTCTGTCTACCCAGCAGTAATTGGGGATCTGGATGTTAATCGATTTGCAGATCGTGTTCCGGGGCAATGTTTAGCCAGTGCAGTTGGCGAGTTGCCCGGTCTTCTCGGACTATTCCTTGACACTGGGTCATGCAACTCGTTAACTTAGGGTGTGGTTGTTGTGTTGGCGACAGCTTATACACCTTAAACAAATGCACGCCTAGGTGGCCCTTGGGCTGGCCATCCTCGTTACACGAGGGGCAACCATTATTATTGTTAGGTAGGTGTGTGTGAGGGTGTAGGTGGCTGGGTGAATGTGGAGGTAGGTTAGTGAGGGTGTATGTAGGTGGGGGCGGGTGAGGCTGGATTTAGATGGGCGGCAATGAGTTTAAAATGACGTTGGGGATTCAATGGGTAGTAGTGATTTTAAATGGGTGGGAATAACTCAAAAGAGGTGATGGTGGTTGTTGGTAGTAGGGTTTAAATGGGTGGTAGAGGATTTAATTGGGTGACAGTAGGGTTTAAATTGGAGGTAGGTGGTTTCAATGTGTGGCAGTAGGGTTTAAATGGGTGATAGTGATTTTAAATGGGTGGCGATGTGGTTTAAATGGGTGGCAATGGGGTTTAAATGGGTGGTAGAGGGGGAGAAGGAATACAACAACCCACATTGTTTATAATTGATCACTACCTGAGAAAACGGGAATTCCAGATCAGCTGATAGAAGGTCAATCAGCTGATGCGTGACGTCACAGGTATACCTTTTTTTATCAACCAGCCAATCAGCAGCTGCCTCTTACCTTTACCGAGTCAGGTGTTCAGGAATCCATCAAGGGTCCGTATTCTCACGACTCGTACGTTAAATTTTCCACTTAACTGTTACCGTGAGAATCCGTCTAATAATTCTCGAAGGTTCTTATGTTAAATTCCTTCTTAACTGTTAATAAAGATCTTATTATTAATGGCGACAAAATCATTGTGAGACTCTACTCTGTATTGGGATAACATAAGAAGAACATAAGAAAATAAGGAGTCTGCAATAGGCCGGTTGGCCTGTGCATGGCAGCTCCTGTCGAGAGTTACTACCACTCTCTATCATCCATGAATCTATCTAGCCTCCTTTTGAAACTTTCCAGAGTTCCCGCACTTACTACAAAGTTGCTAAGCTTGTTCCACTCGTCCACCACCCTATTTGTGAACCAGTTTCTTCCTATCTCCCTCCTAAACCTAAACTTATCCAACTTGAATCCGTTGCTCCGAGTCCTATCCTGCTCGGATATTATAAGAACTTTATCTATATCCCTTTATTGATTCCTTTCACCCACTTAAATACTTCTATCATATCTCCCCGCACTCTTCGTCTTTCTAGGGAATGCAAGTTAAGTTTCTTTAACCTATCCTGATATGGAAGGTTTCTAAGTCCCTGAATCATTTTTGTCATTCTTCGCTGCACCGACTCTAGTGAATTTATATCCATTCTATAATAGGGGCACCAGAACTGAACCGCATAATCGAGGTGCGGCCTAACTAGCGCAAGATATAGTTGCAATAAGTTGGTGATTAGCCCCCAGCTTATTTCACCTGAAGATTAACCACCCTAATGTTGCCCAGGGGGTTAGGTTAGGTTAAGTTAGATTAGGTTAGTATTAAGTTAGGTCAGGTTAGCGTTCATTTAAGTTAGGTTAGCGTTAAGTTTGGTCAGGTTAACGTTTGATTAGGTTAGGTTAGGTCAGGTAGATCAGGTCAGGTTAGGTTAGTTCAAGTCAGGTTAGGTTAAGTAAGACCAATCAGGAATGGGGCCCCATTTGACCAATTTGTCGGAGCGGGGCCGGGGTGGTGGGCGACAGTGACCTGAGCAACGGTGGAGAGGTACACATAGCAGACCTAATTAACCTGTCAATACCTGGACTACGGCTGACTGAGATAGAGAGAGAGAGAGAGGAGGGGAGTGTAAGGTAGAAAGAGAGGAAAAGTGAGAAGGTAAGATAGAGAGAGAGAGAGAGAGAGAGAGAGAGAGAGAGAGAGAGAGAGAGAGATATAGAAACAGACGAATAAATAATAATAATAATAATAATAATAAATAAATAAATAAATAAAACCAATCGATGCACTTTTTTTGTAACTGTGATCGAAAAGTTAAGAAAAATACATAAACCTTTCCCTTGTTTCGTCTTTCGTCTTATTTTCGTATTAAAGAAAATTTTTGAACGGATACTCTTTGTCAGTTTCATATTTTTTATTTAATTTTAACTAAAGATTTTTTTTATTTAGATTTTCCTCCATCTAACATTTTTTTTTTAATTTTCTTGTCTAAGCCAATTTTTTTTCTCATCCTTTGTAAATTTTTTTGTGATTTTATACCAATTTTATCCTTTTTTTATGCTTTTAGTTATTAAATTTTTCCCACATAACCATTTTTTTTATTCCTATTAGTTTTCCTATTTTATGTTCTTTTCCAATTTTCTTCATTATAGACTTATTATAATTTATTTTTCCCATTTTAATCCATAAAAATTACACTTATTTTTCTGTTATTTTCCTAATTTTTCCAGAAATATTTTGTTTCCTATTTTTATCACAATTAACAATATTTTCTAGATATTTGTCAACACCTAACTGTCTTTATTTAACTATTTCCCAATATATTTAACTATATATTTTTTCCCTGCTTAATAATTAATTTGTCATATTTTATCCACTAATTGTTTCCCTATTTTTACCCATTAAAATTTGTTCAAACTTTTCTTCATTAATTAATATTATCTTATTTTTTCAGCTCACTAATTTTTCCTATTTATTAACTGATTGACCTTATTTTTACCCCATTATTTTTTATTTCATATTTTCCCCTATGTCTAATTTTCCCTATTTATACCCTATAAAATATTTATCTTCCCTATTTTACCCCATAAAAATTTCCCCCTATTTTTACCCTATTATTTAATTGTCCATAGTTTTACCCCGAGGACTAGTTTCCCCCCATTTTTTACCTCCAGTAACTAATTTTTTTCCCGAGTTTTCACCCCAACGACTCATTTTTTCCTATTTTTTTACCCCCATAAACAATTTTTCCCTATTTTCCTCCCATTAGGGCGAAGCTACGGGAGATTATATGTTGGATCTGCTCGAACGAATGTCCAATTACCGCATTGATGACCAACGGTGTTCCCTCCCCCACCCCATTCACCACCCTCAGGTACGTTCACATAGCCTGCACGTTCACACCACTCACACGTCTGTTACATACACGTGGTTTGGTGTGTACGCACGTTCACATGTCTGTTACGTACATATGACTTCTTGTTTATATGTCTTGTACTTTCATGTGATTTGCACGTTCACATGGATGTACCATGTTCATGTAAGTTCATATATTTTTATTTGTGACGTTCATATGACTTGTACGTTCACATGGATTCACCGTTCATATATGTCTGTGTGGCACGTTCACATGGATAGCACGTTCACAACACAGGTATGTTTCCGTCTGTTTGTATGGTACGTTCACATAACTTACACGATGACTTAAAACGTACACATGTGGCTCGTTAGTTCACATGACCTACACGTTCATTTGACTTGTATGTTCACATGACCAGCACGTACACATGAACAACACGTTTACATGACCGACACGTTCACATGGCCAGCACGTACACATGACCAACACGTTCACATGGCCTACACGTTCACATGACCAGCACGTTTACATGACCAGCACGTTCACATGGCCAGCACGTACACATGACCAACACGTTCACATGGCCTACACGTTCACATGACCAGCACGTTTACATGACCAGCACGTTTACCCCACACGTTTACCTGACCAGCACGTTCACATGGCCAGCACGTTCACATGATCTACACATGACCAACACATTCATACGACCAGCACGTTCACATGGCCAGCACGTTCACATGACCAGCACGTTCACATGATCTACACGTTCACATGACCAACACATTCACATGACCAGCACGTTCACATGACCAACACATTCACATGACCAGCACGTTCACATGACCAGCACGTTCACATGACCAGCGCGTTCACATGACCAGCACATTCACATGACCAGCGCATTCACATGACCAGCACGTTCACATAACCTACACGTTTGCATGAGGTGCACCTTCACGTGACTTGTACGTACTCCTGACTTGTACGTTCACAAGTCATTCACTTACACACGACTCACCCGTTCACATGTGTTTTGGTACGTTCACATGTGGGTAGTCCATTCGCATGACTTGCACGTTCACATGTAGTCTAGTAGGTTCACATAGACGACCACCGATGCCCCCTACCCTCCCCCAGCCGTTCACCACCAAGGTACGTTCACATGTGTCTTGATTTAATATTTTCACATGACAACTTGGTACTTTCATGTGGATTTTTGTACGTTTTTGTTTTATAAGTTTACATAGCTTAGTTTACGTTCATATTCTTCTCTTGGGTGTTCTTGTGGTTATTTTTTACGTTCACGTGCTTTATGTTACGTTCAGAACTTCTATCCCGGTTATAATGTTGTTGATACGGCAATAGATATACGTTCAAGGGGCTTTGTGTGTGTGTGTGTGTTCCTTCAGTAAGTCAGTAAGTCAGTAACAGCTTCACGTATACAGTCGTTGAAGTAGCTAGAAACAGGTAAAATCCAGGTAAGGTCAGACTAAACCAATTTGCATTCGGATCTTTCACGTATTTTGGAAACCAACTCTCTTAATCGAATTTTTAACCAATTTAAAGTTACCTCACGTTACCTAACCCAAAAGATTCCCAAATATAGCGCAGGTTCCGATAAGGCGCCCAATGCCTGGTGTTACAAATAGCCAACAGTCGTACCCCGGAAGAAAAAATGTGTAATATCGGGGAAAGTACCAAAGACCAAAGGCGTGTCTATAGTGTATATTCCCTAGTTACCCCGACAACAGCATACATTTTCTTTTATACTTTAGCCAGACACAGAAAACGGGCTTTTAGGTTGCACTCCCCGATAACATCCTGTGATATACTATTTTACTTATATTTTACCAAGTCCATTGAAAACACTAACTGTATATGATAATGGGAAATATTTACTTAATAAAAATTAATAAAGGTGACTTAATGATAAAAAATAGGTAAATTAAAGTAATGTTTGGCTGAAATGTAATAACGTTTATATACCTTTTTCTATGTTTATACTTAATACTATTGATCTTCTCCCATAATTGAAAACTTTTTAGAAGTTGATTTAATTTTTAATTGATGCGGAAGATGTGAAGGAAATATGGCAAAAGGATTGTTGATTTTTTATTATATTTGAGTTCTTATTGTTAAATCTTTCTCATTCATTTTTACCTCTTCTTTTCTTCCTCTTTTACTACTACTTCTTTTACTCCTTCCTCCCTCTCTTCTCCCTCTCCCCCCGCCCCTTCCCTCACAGGCTGTGTGAGGAGGGAGGTAGGTAGGGCAGGTTACGGGCCTGTACCCTCCGGCCTGTAATTACGAAGGTCGACCACCGCCTGTACCGCACCGCACCTCACACCACCTCTCTCTCTCTCTCTCTCTCTCTCTCTCTCTCTCTCATTTTAAAGTCGTATGTTAGTTTAGGTTAGGTTATGATATATCTGGTTAGGTTAAGTTAGATTAAGTTTGGTTAGTTAAGGTTAGTTTAAGTTAACTTATCAGGTCAGATTAGGTTAGATCGTCGCCTGATACTCCTCTAACAACCTAATTCCTCCACAATCGTCATCAAAAAGTCAAAACGACACTTGACACACCCTAGACACTTGTCGTTTTTTCTTAAATCTTAGGAGAACGACACAATACCTCTAATTACCGTAAGGAGGTGGTTGTCGCCTACATAATTCTAAATGATTTCTAGCGTTCACATCATGTATTCCTCTTTAAAACGACAGGTCGCTCTCAATAACCTAACTAACTGACCTTTGGGTACGCCATTTGAAGCTCCCAAAACGACAGGTCGCTCTCAATAACCTAACTGACCTATGGGTACGTCATTCGTTGGCCCTAACTCAACATGTCGTCTTCAATAATCTGACTAACCTCTGAACACGACATTCTTCTCCTTAAAAAACGACTAGTTGCTATCTCAAACTCCCACCGGTCGTCTTCGACAGCTCTCTGGGAGCCAAATAGGGCTATCTAGAGGGCTGTCACTCTTAGAGGTCTGTCTGTCTCCATCCACCTGGTTAAAACAATAGCTTCTTACCTCACCAGCTGTCAGAGGCTGTCAGGAGGTTAAATGCTTTTCTTTTTGCTCTTTGTTTTTGCTGTCTACTACACAACCATCATCATCATTCATCCATCACTTCCTCCATTCATCAAATTCTTTCTCTTCTTCTTCTGTTTCTTCATCCTGTTTTCTCTGTCTGTGGTATGTCTTAATTGTTGGTCTGATCTCCCATTCTGATATACTCATCTAGTTAATGATAATAATAATAACAATAATAATAAAACCACTAATAAGAGCAGCATTGATAATAGTGATAATCAATATAACAATAGTGCTAACAATAATAGGCATACAACAATAATAATAACAAAAACAATATTCGTAATAGCAGTTACAACACTTACAATATTTACATCAACAACAACAACAACCACAACCGTCGTAAACACACACAAACTCCAAACAAAACCCGCCTGCATAAACGGCACGACGCAATCCACCTCGGCATCAGGAAGGCCAATGAAGGATCGACCGAACCCCTATATCGAGCCTTATATCGGATTCAATACCGTAGACGGCAGATCGAATCCCCCGATAGAAGTAGATCAGGCGCTACGGCTCCCTGGCACCTCCCGTCTTTGTGAGATCTATAGCAATGATACAGTAATCGTTCATCTAGGAGAGAAGGAATGGAAAGGAAGAGAGAGAGAGAGAAATGAAAGAAGCAAGAAAGATGAAAGAATGTATCGGAAGTGAGAAAGGGAGGAGGGAAGGAAGGAGGAGAATTAGAATAGGGAGGAGGGAGAAGAAAAGGAATAGGTTGAAAGAGAAAGAGGAAGGGAAGGTGGGGAGAATAGGAAGACAGGAAGGAAGAGAGAAAGGAGGTGAATGAAAGATGAATAAAAGAAAGAACACAGAGGAAGAGAGTAAGTGAATGATGGAGGAAAGTAGGACTAGGAAGGAAAGACAGGGGGATAGAGAGGGAGTAAGGAAGAAGGGAAAAGGAAAGGAGGGATAGAGAGGCAGGGTCCAGACAGGTATGTTGTGGTGAGAAATAAACGTGATGAAAAATAGAGAGAGAGAGAGAGAGAGAGAGAGAGAGAGAGAGACAGAGAGAGAGAAAAAGAGAGAGAGAAAGAGAGAGAGAGAGAAAATCGGACCAGACTGATATATATCTCAGTATAAGACAAACAAATGAACAAGAGAGATAAGAGAGAGAGAGAGACAAAGACAGACAGACAGAGAGATAAAGAGAACACCGTACAGAGAGACAGAGAGACAGACAACCAGGCCTCACGACCCATGGATGTGTTTCACTCTGACAGCTCAAGGTCGAACTTGAAGCCTTGAACACGTAAGGTGGACCTCTCTGTACAAGGCAGCTGTATCTATCTTCATAACAGAGTCAGAATCCAAGCACCAGTACAAGGGGCAGGTGTAGGTAATAGAGTACAAGGGGCAGGTGTAGGTAATAGAGTACAAGAGGCAGGTGTAAGTAATAGAGTACAAGGGGCGGGTGTAGGTAATAGAGTACAAGGGGCAGGTGTAGGTAATAGAGCACAAGGGGCAGGTGTAGGTAATAGAGTACAAGGGGCAGGTGTAGGTAATAGAGTACAAGTACACGACCTTCCACGTGAATACAGACACACCAATACAGTTAATTACAGGTACAGTATTGACCAGGTGTTGAATAAACGTCATAAAGTACAGGTACAGCTACACTATGGCGACTGTATTAGAAATTTCAGAACATTTACAGGTACAGGTGGAGAGTACAGCATAGACCAGTAATTACAGGTACAGCTTATAATTATACAGGTACAGTAAATACTATATGGTAGACTTAACCTGTACTGTAACCCTTTCACCTGTGCAAACTCCTCATTAACTGTAAGGTCATCTATGAGCAGGTGATGGTAGTGTCAGGTATGGTAGAGGTGGTGGTTGGATATGGTAGTGGTGGTGGTTGGGTGTGGTAGTGGTGGTGATTGGGTGTGGTAGTGGTAGATGGGTA